CGTTCACCCTTGGCCATAAGGCATAGGTGTGTAGAGGATGATGGCGATGGTGGCGGTGAAGATGATGAAGAGACAATAACAATGGCGGCCACCTTCTCGTTATCACTATCATCATCGGATGAGCCACTAGATGAATCAATGTCCGTGAGCCAATCACTGACGATGTATGCCTTTCCACTCTTCTTCTTCTTGTGGAAGTCCTTCTTCTTGTCATTTCTCTTCTTGTATGGCTTGTCTTTCTTCTTCTCATCTTCATCACTTGAGTCATCTTTCTTGCCCTTGTTCTTGTTCTTGAAGTTGTCTTTCTTGGGCTTTGTGCATTGGTGAGCTAGATGACCAAGTTCTCTACAATTGTAGCAATCATCTTGGAGATTGACTTCCTTCTAGAGCTAGTGAAGAACTTCTTCTTCTTGCCATCGAACTTGATGCCACTCTTGTTTAGCTTCTTTAGCATCTTGGCGGGTTTTCTCACCATGAGAGCAAGGCTTGCATCATCAACTTAATCATCACTTAAGCTCTCATACTCAAGCCTTGTTTTGCCCTTCTCTTGACTAGCCTTGAATGCTAAATCTTTTTCTTTCTTTTTAGTAGAGGATGAGCCATCTTGAGGTGTGATGTGCATGTACATCTCATGAGCATTGATCTGGAGCTGCCTGGAGTTGATACGGCCCATGCCGGATGGACACCGCCCGCGCCAGCGCCGGTCCTAGGATTTTGAGGGCCCTCTGGCAAACTCGTCGCGACGGCCCCTCTAGACCATAAAACCTTGTTGTGATTGAATAAACTGCTTTTCTTGTCTTTTCCATTTTCTTTTGGCAGCCCCCGACAAATGTTTCTTCGGTAACATTCTAAAATTCTAACACCTAGCCTAAATTAGAAGAAAAACATGACTATATGAGTACAAAGTACTAGACAAAAAATGAAGGAAAAAAACCTAGGCCTAGACAATTTGGACATGAACTGATTCAGAACTAAGATTCGCAAAAAAGGGCAGAAGGCAATAACCAAGATCAGATGTCGTCATCCTTGTGGAGCCCTGCCTCAGCTACCTAGTCGTCGTCGTCCTCTAGAACTCGGGCATCGGTGCCTGGCCATCGCGATCTCGTCTCGTGTGGTGATCGGCGCTGCGTCTTGCCGTCTCGCGAAGAAGTCGTGATGTGCAGCATGTGCCGTGTGCGGGTGACCAGGCGTTGGCGGCTTGGCTCCTCGCCTCCTGGGAAACAAAAGGCCGACGATCTACATGCCTCATTGGGCTGGCTCCGTTTCTCCTTTTGCTGATGGGCCACCTTCTCATTAAGCCTAATGGACTATAGCTAATGGATTTGGGGTCTTATATACCTGGGCTTGGGCCCCCATCCTGCCTGGGCCCTCAGCCGTCGCACCTCCTGCCCCCCTAGGGCCGGAACTGGCCCGCGCTCCCCAAGAGGAGTAGACGGGTAGCGGCGCAGAGCATATCGCATATCCCGGCGTCCAAGCGAGGTGAGCACCTTGTCTTGAAACGCCTGAGACTAACCAGCGGGATGTCATCGCTGTCGACGTCGGCCTTGAAGGCGTCCGAAGAAATCTACAGTGGTGACCCCGGCAATATACAGGCACTACGTGAGTTGTTTCCACCTGACGGCGACGTGGGTACGCGCAAACAGTGCCGCCGCTGCTCGGTAGCCTGGGCATAGGCCTCCCTAGCTGGCGCCACAAGTTGGGTTAATCAGTGTCCAATGTAAGAGCATAACTTTAAGTATACCAGGGAGGGTCCGAGCGTCTATGTACTACTCTTCTAACCACCTAGGACGCCGCTAAGGCGTATTGTATTACATATTTTCTCTATCTTAATACAAAGATGAGCAAACCTTTTGCGTGATCGAGAAAAAAATCATTTTGTCATCAATAATAGAAAACCTCCAAAAACAACATGGCCAATGGTCTGTGTGCCCAGGACTGAGGGAAGTCTTGGGGTATTAAATCTGACAGTCCAAAATGAGAGCTTACTAATGAAACAGTTGCATAAATTCTCCAGCAAGGTGGAAGTACCATGGGTACAACTGGTCTGGGACCATTATTATTCAAGAAACAGGGCTCCCTCTACTGGTAGAAGCTTTAGAGGATCATTTTGGTGGAAAGATATTCTTAAGCTTCTTCATTCTTTCAAAGGCCTAGCAAGAATTAATCTACAAAATGGTTCCACTTGTTTCTGTGGTTTGATCTTTGGGAGGGCAGAGTGTGTAATCAAGCTTTTTTTTTGATGAAAAGTGTGTAATCAAGCTTATCTTGAGCTCTTTTCCTATGCCAGAGCCCAACACATCTCTTTGAATGTGGTAGCTTCTACTGGACCTCTTCAGATTCTCTTCCACTTGCCTTTGTCCAATGAAGCTTATGTCCAGGAATTGTTAGTTATTCTTCAGAACTGCAACTAAGTCAGGCCAATGATGTATGGTCTTACATTTGGGGATCATCTATTTATTCTTCCAGCAAGGCATACAAGCATTTGATTGGTCAATGCCATGTGCATAGATCATATAAATGGTTGTGGACATCTGCCTGCCAAAATGAAAGAATTTTTTTTCAGGTTGGTCCTAAAAGACAGGTTGAGTACAAGAGATCTGCTAAGGCGAAGGGGTATGCATCTACCGGATTACAATTGTGTTTTTTGCACCCTGAATGTTGAGGAAGATCTGTTTCATCTCCTATTTCACTGCCCTTTTGCTATGGCATGTTGGTTTCAGTTTGAACATATTTCTGCCTGCCACCAATGACATCTCAATCATTCTGGAAAGCATAAGGGATCAGCTCAGACAGCCCTTTTTCATGGAAATCGTTGTTAGAATGTGTTGGGCCATTTGGATTATGAGAAATGATATCATCTTCAAGAACATTGCGCATTCGGTTCAGAGATGCAAAGCTGTTTTCAGAAAAAAAATGCTCTAATTATTCTAAGAGCAAAAGCACGTCATCATCCACATATAGATCAATGGCTAGAAGGCTTTGTGTAACCCTTGCTATTTTCTTTCTAACTTTTTATGTCTCTTGAACTTGGACTTGTATCTGTTTATACCTTAATTGATAATTTCCAGTAGGGGCTTGACCCCTCCTATTTCATTAAAAAAAGTATAGCTTCACCCCTGACCCGTTCATAGATGCTTCAGTTAATTAATTATAGAGAGACTTCCCAATTCTTCTTCGAGGCCGCATGCTCCTTCTTCAGGCCCTCCTTCGCCTCCTCTAGCTCCTTGACGACACTCCTGGCCCAACCCCCGCGTCGCTCCCTCACGCGGGGCGACTCGGGCGGCCCCCGCCGCGCCGCCTCCCTCTCACCCCTCTCCTCCTCTCCCGCCGCGCCGCCGCTGGAGCTGGCCACTAGCATGGCCGCATGGTGGTGGCGGGGCTCTCCCTCCTCGTGTTAGCGGCGCAGCTGCAGCAGGCCGGCGGTCCGGTTCCCCGCGACCAGCGTGGAGGTTGACGGGGTGGCTGTCGTGGCTGCAGCAGCGCTGGCTGGTGTCCGTGCAGGCGCAGGGGACGGCGGCGAGGTCTTCTTCTTCTCCGCGCGTTCCCCTTCTCCTATCTTGATGGCGGCGGCAGCGCTGGCTGAGGCCGCTGGTCCGGGGCCCAGACTGGCAGATCTGGTGCCCGGGAGGCCGGATCCGGACCCCAGGCGGCCAAATCTGTCTTGGCGGCCGGCGGCGGTGGTGGCCGGGGCCCGTGCATGCGCTAGGAGGTAGTGCTTTCTTCTCTGCCGTCCCTCCCCTCACAGCCTTGGCTGCTGCGGCTCAGGGGCTGGCTGTGGTCGGGGCAGCAACCTCTGCCGGCTAGCCTGCCCTCGGCAGCCGGTCTGGTGGCCAAGGCGACGGGCTGGCCTAGGACGGTTTCTGCAGCTATGGTCAAGACGGAGGAGGTGGCGTCGGCAGGGGGCGCCGGATTCGGGGCCTGGCGTTCGGATTCGGCGGCCCCAGGGCATGGGGCGGCGCCCGACATGGTGGGGGCACACGCCCTGTGGCTGCTGGCGGTGATGACGGCAGCGACATCGGCAGGTGCTAGAGCCGACGACGTTGGTCAAATGCGGCCTCGGCGTGCGGCGATGTGACGTGAGCAGTGGAGTCAGGTCTGGCTCTGTGTGGCTCGGTCGGAGGGGGTGGCGCCCGACGAAGCTGTGCAGCTGCTACGTGCAGCCGGCGCGTTGATGCCTCTCTGAAGGGGCTTCCGTGGGGTGACGGGACAACGGCGATGGCGGTGAAGGCTGGCAAGGGGTCCGGCTTCGCTTCCCGGCGATTGTGCTAGAGGGTTCTTGGGCGAAAGCCTTGGCAACAGCGACGCCGTTGGGCGCCGCTTCCCTGTTAGGGGCGTTGTGTTTCCCCACTAGCATGTCTTCCAAGGGTGAAAACCCGATCCACTTTGGACATGCGACGGTGACGCCATCGACATCACTACCTTCCTGAAGGCGTCGCATTTAGATAATCGTCGCAGTTTCGATGCGGAGTGATGGTTCGTGTTCGGAAGTCGGAGCTGCTCTTCGGTGTTTGAGCTTGGCAACGATGACCGGTGGCGGCCGTTAGCTTCAGACCCGTCGGGGGTGACTAGTGGGTGGCGTGCCATGGGAAATCGGAGCTGCTAGCAGCTTGGCTTCCATGCTTGGCAACGATGACCCATGGCAGCGTATCGTGTCTGTGCTCAGCTGCGTCGCGTGGGATGGTTAGCCCCTCGGGTGTCTTCGTGGCATCTCGTCGAGCTAACCTTCTTGAACGTAATATTCTTTCGGCTTAAGTTAAAAAAATTAATTATAGAGAGACTTGGTCATTATAGATAGGTACAGCACGGAACGATGCTGGGAACAAACCAATCCCAGGAATGCTCTGACCTGGAAAACTGCGAAGAACGGGTCCTGTCAGTGCACCCTTGTTTCTTGCGTTGACATTTTGTTAACCGAGGTCACTCTGCTTTTAGCCTGCTGCCAAGTGCCAACAACCAGGTCCGAAGGACATCAGAGCGGCAGCAAGCAAACATCGTCTGCCATGGAGTCCTCACGGCTCCTTCTCATCTCATTCCTTCCGTCCATGTGGGTGGTCGCCGTCGCCACCGCGGCACGGAGTCCCGGCTGCGCAACGAGGTGCGGCGACATCGACGTCCCGTACCCGTTCGGCCTGGACCCGCAGTGCGCCATCCACGACGGCTTCCAGCTCAACTGCACCACCGTCGGCCGCACCACCAAGCTGTTTTACTTCAACGTGGAGGTGACCAAGATCTCCGTGCAGGATGGCAAGGCCTGGCTCAAGACTTGGATCTCTCGGCAGTGCTACAACCAGACCACGAACGACATGTTCGTGGAAAACGCGTGGATCAACGCTACCGACACGCCCTACGTGCTATCGGCAGACGATAACAAAATCATCGTCCTCGGGTGCAATAGTATGGCCTACATGCAGAGCGACTCTGCAAGTATACTCAATTGACATTACCCGGTGTTCTTCGGTTCTCTGTGTTATGTACATGTCCAAACTCTGCGGATGTATGCAGTACGTAATCGGCTGTATGTCCACATGCGACTACCCACTCAGAACGGCTCTTGCTCCGGCACCGCAGGTTGCTGTGAGGCAGATCTCCCGAGCGGTGTCCGGTATTACCAAGGCTTTTTCAACGAGTTATACAACACCACCAAGATATGGAGGAAAACCCCCTGCAACTATATCACCGTGATGGAGAGCGCGGCCTTCAACTTCAGCACCACCTACCTCACCTCGACGGCGTTCTACGACGCGGACGACTCGAGGACCCCGGTGGTGATGGAGTGGGGAATCACGCGTCAGACATGTGAAGAAGCCAAAGCCAACGAGACTGCATATGCATGTGTTAGCGACCATAGCGGCTGTGTCAGTAGTGATGCCGGCTACCGCTGTAGCTGTTCTAAAGGATTTGAAGGCAACCCTTACATCGTAGATGGATGCACAGGTTCGTTCCTCTTGCCCAGGGCCCATTGTTTTTCAGCCATGATTTCTAATGATGCAAATTTTTGTGTGCGATTTCAGATATTAACGAGTGCTTGGACAGTTTTACTTACCCCTGCGCTGGAATATGCGAAAATACACTCGGGAATTTCACATGTTCATGCCCACGAGGAAGAAACGTGATCAATGGCGTTTGCGTCAAAAGTCAGAGGTCAACTTGGATGGTGCCGGTTGTTGGTAGGTCGCTGGAGAATAAAATGGGGCCTAGCAGATGTTTTTCTGCTAATAAATATTTTAGTCCCTTTTCCAGGAGTTTACAAAAGGCGTCAGTCTGAATCTTCATTTCCAATCGTGATGCTGCAGGTGCAAGTGTTGGACTCGTGACTCTTGTGATCGGAATCACTTGCGCGTACCTGGTCCAAGAACGGCGAAAGCTGCATCGCATCAAGCAGAGGTATTTCCGACGGCACGGCGGTCTGCTTCTATTCGAGGAGATGAAATCACAGCACCACCAGGGAGCCGCCGCGTTCACAATCTTCTCCGAAGAAGAACTGTAGCAAGCCACGGACAATTTCGACGGGCAGCGAGTGCTCGGCCACGGGGGCCACGGAACCGTCTACAAGGGAGTCCTGAAGAGCGGCACCGAGATGGCCGTGAAGCGGTGCATGACGATCGACGAGCAGCAGAAGAAAGAGTTCGGCAAGGAGATGCTCATCCTGTCCCAGATCAACCACAGGAACATCGTGAAGCTGCTCGGCTGCTGCCTCGAGGTCGAGGTCCCCATGCTCGTCTACGAGTTCATCCCGAACGGCACGCTGTTCGATCTCATCCACGGCGACCACCACAGGCAGCAGCACGTCTCGCTGGACACTCGCCTGAGGATCGCCCACGAGTCCGCCGAGGCGTTGGCCTACCTCCATTCCTGCGCGTCGCCGCCGATCCTCCACGGCGACGTCAAGTCCACCAACATCCTCCTAGACGGTGACTACACGGACAAAGTCTCCGATTTTGGCGCGTCCATCCTGGCGCCGAATGACAAGTCACAGTTCGTCACGGTTGTCCAAGGGACGTGCGGGTATCTTGATCCGGAGTACATGCAGACATACGAGCTGACAGACAAGAGCGACGTGTACAGCTTCGGAGTTGTTCTCCTAGAGTTGCTCACGGGCAAGAAGGCGTTCAACCTGGAAGGACCTGAGAACGACAGGAGTCTGTCCATGAGGTTTCTGTATGCGATGAAGGAAAACAAGCTTGAGGATATCGTGGATGATCAGATCAAGAACAGTGAGAACATCGAGTATCTCGAGGAGATTGCGGAGTTAGCGAGGCAGTGCTTAGAGATGAGTGGTGTGAATAGGCCAACGATGAAGGAAGTTGCGGATAAGCTTGATAGGTTGAGGAAGATCATGCAACATCCATGGGCACATGAGAATCCTGAAGAATTGGACAAGTTGCTTGGAGAGCCGTCTACAGCAAACTCGACCGCTACTACTGGAAATTTCAGCATCACAAAGAGAGCTGCCATGGGCTTGGAATCAGGGCGTTAGCTAGCCACTGTAATTAATATTACATTTCATTACCACATTCCATAACAGATAGATACAGCACATTTTTCTTGGCTGTACAATGATTTCGTAGGGTTTATATGTTATTCTACTGTTCAACATGAATAAAATGCAAAGCCGCGACACAATCTTTTTCTGGGACTTTGTTGTTCATATTTGGCCATGGATAACTGCGGTATCCAGTGCATAAGCATTGGTGAAATTTGCAAGTCGAAATAACTGGACTAGCAACAAGTACATTAACCAGACAAACGTTCCTACTCCTATTTATGACACAATCAAGATCAACAAACAAGACCAGCAATGGACAAAAGTCGAAAGGACGTCAGGAGTACATGTAAATGTCTCAATTAACTTATGAGTTTGTTCCGCTCACAATTTATCCGTGACCCAAAATTTGACAATAAAAATTACAATTCTCTTAACCCTCACAGAAAACTAAGAAACCGGAGGCAGGTAAGATTACTTCCTAAATGGGTACATGCAAAAGTTGAGACTTGATGCACCTACATCTTGGCTTCCTTTGCGTCCTGGTACTCAGCTTCTGGAGTCTGGTCTCCGCCACTACTGCTGCCACTGCTGCCAGCGCTGCCACCACCACCTTGTTGCATGTGCTCTCCGATCTTTGACACAGCCTTGTTTGCTGCTTCCAGCTTCTGCTTGATCTTCTCCAGATCATCCTCAGCCATAGCTGCCCTCAGATCAGAGACAGCAGACTCGATCTCCTTAGTGACTTCAGCAGGTACCTTGTCCTTGTACTCACTGACACTCTTCTCAATGCTGTAGATCGTGGTATCTGCAGAGTTCTTAAGATCAATAAGAGACTTCCTTTCCTGATCCTTCTGAGCATGTAGCTCAGCCTCCTTCACCATCTTCTCAATTTCAACTTCTGACAAACCCCCAGAAGACTTGATGGTGATTTCTTGTTCTTTGCCTGTGGCTTTGTCCTTAGCTGACACCTTCACAATGCCATTGGCATCAATGTCAAAGGTAACCTCAATCTGGGGCATGCCCCTTGGAGCTGGTGGAATGCCTTCAAGCTGGAATTCACCAAGGAGCTTGTTATCTGCAGCCATCTCCCTCTCACCCTGAAGCACCTTGACTCCAACCTGTGTCTGGTTATCTGCCGCAGTAGAGAAGACCTGGCTCTTCTTGGTTGGAATTGTGGTGTTCCTGTTAATTAGCCTTGTGAAGATGCCACCAAGGGTCTCAATACCAAGGGAGAGAGGTGTGACATCCAGCAAGAGGAGCTCCTTCACATCACCCCTCAAAATGCCACCCTGGATAGCAGCTCCCATGGCAACAGCCTCATCAGGATTGACACCCTTGCTTGGTGGCTTGTTGAATATCTGAGAAACAACCTCCTGGACCTTTGGTACTCTAGTCATACCACCAACCAGTAGAACCTCATCAATCTCCTTAGCGGAGATGCCAGCATCCTTGAGGCAGTTCACACAAGGGATGCGAGTCCTCTCGATGAGATTGCTCACAAGAGACTCAAACTTCGATCTGGTCAAGGTAATGTTGAAGTGCTTTGCACCAGAGGTATCAGCAGTGATAAACGGGAGGTTGATTTCAGTCTGCATAGTGGAGGAAAGCTCAACCTTGGCCTTCTCAGCAGCTTCCCTGAGCCTTTGCAGTGCTAACTTGTCCTTGCTCAGATCAATGTTGTCTGACTTCTTGAACTCGCTAACCAGATACTCAAGCAGTGCACCATCAAAGTCCTCACCACCAAGGAAAGTATCACCATTGGTTGCCTTGACCTGAACAACGTGTCAGAGTTAAGAATTATATACTACACCTATTTCAACATCTGCATATAGAATATGTACAAGATATGAGAAGAAAATTACCTCAAAAACTCCATTTGATATCTCAAGGATTGACACATCAAATGTGCCACCACCCAGGTCAAAAACAGCGATAAGGCCCTCCTTGTTGTTCATTCCATATGACAAAGCTGCAGCAGTGGGCTCATTGATAATCCTCATAACCTCCAGTCCAGCAATCCTACCAGCATCCTTGGTAGCCTGGCGTTGAGCATCATTGAAATAAGCTGGGACAGTAATAACAGCCTTAGAGACCGTCTTGCCAAGGTAAGCCTCTGCAGTTTCCTTCATCTTAGTGAGAACAAATGCACCAATCTGGCTAGGGGAGTACTGCTGGCCACCCATCTCCACCCAGGCATCACCATTCGGTGCCTTGACAATCTTGTAAGGCACCATCTTCATCTCCTTCTGGGTCTGCGGGTCATCAAAAGTCCTACCGATCAGACGCTTCGACCCACGAATTGTGTTCTGGGCATTGGTTACCGCCTGCCGGCTCGCAGTGATACCAATCAGCAGGTCACCATTCTGATTCTTGGCAACAATGGAGGGAGTTGTCCTCGCGCCTTCCGCATTTTCAATCACCCGTGGTGTCTACACAAGCAAAGTCATACATCACTTCCTGACTACCAGCATCATAACCAGAACCAATTGAACATGTACTCAAATTGAAGCAATTTCAAGCCATGACATTAAGTACATATAGACAGCAGCTGACCCAAACCAATTTCAGCATTCAAGCATGACATCTAGTACAGATGGATACAACAACCCATTTACAAATAACAGAACGCACTCAAATTGCAGCTATTTCAAGCCATGACATTAAGTACATATTGATACAGCAGCTGACCCAAACCAATTTCAGCAATTCAAGTACGACATCTACTACAGATGGATACAACAATCCATTTACAAATAAAAGAATATGGCAGATTTCGGAGTGAACAGAGAAAAAACACACCTTTCCTTCCATGACGGAGACGCAGGAATTCGTTGTGCCTAGATCGATACCGATGACATCTGCCGCGGCCGGCTTTGTGCTGCATGCAGAACATTCACTTAGGAAACAAATTGCCATGGATACGGAACTATTGATGACAACACATCTCGTATTCCTAATTACCTGAGAAGACGAGCTACTGCGCCAAGCCTGGAGAGCAGAGGAGGCGCTGTCCGCTGGGCCATGGGACCCTAATCAGATTGCAAAATCAGAGAACAGATCAACACATCGCATCAACCCAAACATCATCAGAAGAACGGGCAACGCCACAAATTGGCCTTGACCAAGGGACACGAACTGCAAGCAAATAACAGGTTCACGGGAACAGAGATGGCACGGACCTGGGCAACGGCGGATGCGAGGGTGCGGCCGGACCTGGCCAGCCTCGACGCGACGAGAGCTCCGAAGGCCATGGCTGGCACTAGGTCTTGGGCGCGGCTTCCGACGGCGGCTTGTGGGATCGGGAGGGAGGAGGAGGACGCGAGATCCGAAAAACCCTAGTGGGCGGCGGCGGCAGAGCTCCCTTCTCTTAAACCCCTCGCGATCCGCAGCATTGGCTTGGAAGAGGGGAAAGAATTGGCGGCCAGGGGCATTTCTGTGATTCTCACCAGGACAAGTCTGTGGCTGACGGTGGGCCACGACGCTAGGTGGAAGCTTCTAGACGGCATCACTCGGCCTCCGTCCGTTGGGCCTGGGCTTTTTCCAGACTCGAATCGTGCACCGATCAAATACCGTGGATAGATTTTCTCAAAAAAAAAACGTGGATAGATTTTCTAAAAAAAAAACGTGAATAGATTATTATTAGGTAATTGCTGTCGCGCCGGAAGTCCGATGGGATATGATTCCATCCGACGGTAACGAATGGGCCAGCATAAATGCGCCGCACTCTCATAGTATCGCTGCAGTCCTTCCCCGTCTGCCTCATCCCACCACGCATGTTACCCTGCCCCCATCTATCTCGCCCCGCCCTACGCCCGCCGCTCCTTCCCTTGACTCCCTCCTCTCTCTCCACACGGGTGAGACCTGGGAGCCGGGACGAGGACGAGCATGTCCCGTCCGCAAGACCCCAGGCACGCCGCGCGCCTCATCCGTCTCCCCCCGGCTCACCGCGCCCTTTCCCTCGGTGCCTGGGCCCTGCCCCATGACTCTCTGAATATATCTTTAAAAAAAAGAAACACTTACAACATGAAACACTTGAATGCAAACATATGTCTGAAGTAGGTGAAATATTTGGAACATACACTAGCAACATGTTTGTGAAACATAAGCGACATCAAGATAAAACACTTGCAACATAAGACTGAAACATCTGAAACATTTCAAACATACTCTTGCAACATATGTGTGCAACATATGCAACATCCAAATAAGCACACTTGCAACATACGTTTGAAAAAAAAGCAGATGAGATATTTGAAACGGACGCTTGCAACATATGTGTACAACCATTGCAACATGTGCAACATCACAATCTATTTTTGCAACATCCATATGAAACACTTACAACATACCTCTGAAACACCTAAAACAATTGAAACATGCTCTTGCAACATGCACTTTCAACGCAACATCTCCTTGTTGTTTGGCAGAATGGAGGCTCGTCGATGTGGTGTTCACCTGAGGCAGCAGCACGGCGACGCTTGTAGGCGGCGGGGTGGCGGCAGTGGCTACACGTCGCGGAAGGGAGGCATCGGCCGCACGAAAGGCGAGAAGGCCGCAGCCACGTGACTTGGAGAGGGCAGCAGCGCGTCGCGCCTGGTAGGGCCGACAACCGAGCGCCACGACTCAGAGGCGGACGCACGTCGTACGTGACAAGGCCAGCAGCTAAGCGGGGCACCTTAGAGGCGGCCGCGCGCTACGCCTCGAGGGTCTAGTGGCCATGTGCTCGGAGGCGGCAGGCGAGCAGATAAGAGTAATAGGAAGAGGAACGAGTGGATTGAAATAAGTGGATGTTTTTTTTAAAACGAAGGAGCATGGGTTGTTGGGCTGACATCATGGCCCAGCAATAGAGCGTTCGTACCGTTATTATTATTATCTTCTCTCTGCTCGGGGAAAGTAACTACGGCTATCCCTTTCTTCCTAGACACTTAAACAACCGCTACACTGTTGCACAAGGGTCTATTTGGGTATAAGGGTTAATTGCTAGCTAGCTAAAAATGGCCTAAATTAACTATAGTGCATCTAAATGGAAGGACTAATAGGTGAGCTAATTTGTTAGATAAGTTTTCATTAGTTGTTAGTCAACTAGTTAACCATCCATAACTAATTTAGCTAATTTTTAGCCCATCTAGTAATTAGTCATGTGTATCAAATATGCCCTAAATAAGCATGTACTATGGTACAAATAAGGCTCCGCCCAATAAGCCTATTTGATTGGTGAAACAATTAATTTTTTCCTTTTTTTCTTTAGCTTAATGAGCAGTATACTTATGAAGTTGAAGGTGTTTTAAAAAAAGTTTGATAAACAATCCTTATGATAGAATAGGAGAGGGGGACTGCAAGAAACATGTATTTTCAGCTTTATCCAACGTCTATTTTTTGTGAGATCGGATTTTAAAAAGCTATTTTTAACCTATTTAACATAAATAACTCCAAACAGCTTCTGAAGCTGCTTGAGAAGCGGTGCCAATATTATGATACAATTAGCAAGTTTAGAGGGGCCAAAAATGCATTTTAAGAGTAATGGGATATGAACGAGAATGTGGAACAAATATAAGGACCACTAAAGAAATTTCCTCATGTTTTATAATGGCTGGGAAATTCTTGGAAACGGCTCTTTGGTGTTACTTATTATATGATTAGCTGAGCTCTGCTTGAAGTTGCAGTCTCAACTACTCCGGAGAGCGGAGACTTTGCCATGCTCTCTTGCACAACTCCATTTCTTCTCCTCTCTACCTGACTATACCTCTGGCTACGGGCTTCCCTGTGCGATACTGCGATGCATCCCAAGTTCGTGCTCAGATCCCTCAAGACCATAGGCAAGGCAGTCCGCATGCTGTACTCGCATACTCCTAGGTGGCACCTGCTCCAGGTACTCGTCGCAACTTTTCTGCTGCACCTCGGACTGACGGCGTTGCTGGTGAAGATAGCAAGCCCCGCGGTCAACCTCGATTCCATGGCTCTGTTCTACGAGATACAGGACAATTCGACGGCGGCGGCATCTGACGCCGTGGCCATGCCCGGGATCGCGACTGTTGATGACAAAGCCACGGAGACATCGGCCCCGTGGCTGTGGAAGCTCCAACTCTTAGGTGAACTCTTCTGGAGGTTGACGTTGATTATTACGATATTTGGTTTCTCCAAGGTTCTTGCTCTTGAAGGTACGTAGTTCCTCTGTTCTAGAATGAAAGGCGTTCTCGTTTCTCAAGAAATTAACTTTTTTAAAACTTTCATCAGTCATATATAAAAGAATATTAATATTTATAATATAAAATTAATATTAGTATCATTAGATAGATCGTTGAATATGATTTTGCTACGGTACATCTATTACCTCTCAGGAGGTAAGAGTTTGAATAAATCCGAACCGTTGAATTTTAGAACATATTAGACAATTAAATAATCAAGTAATAAGGAAAAAATGTTGGCTATATCTGTGCGCTGATTTCCTTGCCATATCTGATATAGGAGCACGCACGATAGTTATGGCACGTATGTACAAGATTTGTATGTGTATCTGTATGATTATCTCGCGTAATACTACATGCTTCTGGGTATGTGCAACTATAATCACTATGTAGCGAAAATAGTTAGACTTCTTGCCACGTCTCATTAACTCATTATAGTATATTATATATAATGCAAATATATCACGTATATTTTTATATATATGCGTGTCGGTGTTTCGGATCACCGGCTAATAAATTTTTAGTTTGCGCGTCTAGCCCGGATGGTGTGCTCAGAGGACACAATGATGATATTGTTTCTAGCAGAACGTCCCTACATCCAGTCTATTGTTGCTCGTGTTACCGGCACTGTCTGTAGTAGGTTACAGATGGGCGAGAGAAGGAGTGGATCCCAGGTCTCTAGTTGAGGGATTGAAAAGTGCTGAGGGCTTGTTCAGCTGCTCAGCGTGTGCCCGTGCCTCCCTCTCTCTTGTGTTGTGTTGTGTTCCCCCTTTTATAGAAGAAGGGAAAGATGCAGGTTACATCAGAAAAAGAGAAGAGAGAGAAAGAGGGAGAAAATCGAGGAGAAGAAGCCCTCTGGGGCCGCCCAGTCCTTCTTCTCCTTCATGCGGGTCCCGCTAACGCTGTAGATGGTGACGGGGATGGCTCCACGTCGGGCTCCTGTTCACCACTGGTGCCATGCCTCGACATCATCAGCTGGTCGTGGCGTTCCATCCCGTCTCGATGGACGGCGTGGTGAACCGACGTGCCTGTCAGCGGTCGTACGAGGATTAGGTAGCACAGCACCCACACACCCGTCACTGTTGGCGATACGAAGCCCGGGCATGGCCTATCATCGCCACGGGTCACGTTAAGTCATGCCCGCGCCCCTTCTGGTGTCAGAGGCTTGACCCAGGGCCACACGCTTGGACCCGTAGTGGTTGGGGGTGGTACAGACCCTGCCGAGCGAGACAGAGCCCGCGCCCGAGGGGTCGGGCGAGACGGAGCTCGTACCCTCGGAGTTGGGCGACACGGGGCTCGTGCCCGAGGGGTCTGGCGAGGTGGAAATCGTCCCTTCGGGGTCGGTTGAGACTGAAATACGTCCTTAATTATCTAGGCAAGTTGTCGTCCGCGGTCCTCAGATCCCTTCTTCGGGTATCCCTAATACTGATACCCGACAGTAGCCTTTGAGCCTACGGAGGAGTAGGATACCCCTTCGTAGGCTCTTTCGGATGGAGGGACTTCGAGGGCTTCGATCTTCTGCTGTCCGCGGGATGCCTTGGTGGGTTATGATCCCTTTCTGTTGCGACCAAACTTCTTTTGAGGGCGTGTAGCTGTGGGATTTCTTTGGGGGCGGAGAGGATTTTCCTTAATTATGGCCCCTCTTAGTACCCGATCGATCCATCGTCGTCACGCGATAGCGTATTCGGTCTCTTCATGAGTCCAATTCCCCCGAGCCCCCGCGCATTGCAGGGTCCGATCGAGGGGTCGTCTCGTCTTGCAATCGTTCTAAGCGTTTTTTTGACAAAACGGAGGGGTTGAGCCATGCCATGTTTTCCTCGGTGGACGAACCATGGTGCTTGGTTAGCCGTTAATGGGCTGGTTCGAGTGGGGCCCCGGCATCCCGTTCATGGGGTCCAGCATGGGTCAGCTGGTGACCGACTTCATATTCCTGACGGCTAGTCCAAATAGTTCTTGGATCCGTTCATCCGGTCCCAAGGGCTCGCTGCCTTTCTTCGAGGAAAAACCATGGACAGCGCGCTGGCCAGGACTCGAATGTGGGTCGGGATACCCATAGCTCTTGTGTGCTTCGTTATTGGCCGCTGGTAGGCCCATCCTTTTCCACCCCTTGCTCTAAAGGTGCCCTAGAGCAGTTGTGAACCCGTCAATGGGCCAACCTTCGAACTCGTGGGCCGTAATGGGACGTGGAAACATTTTCAGCCCCGTATCCCTTCCTTACCTGCGACGGTTCTCAGCAAATCTATCGGGTGAACCATCATCTGGGGCGTCCTTCGAGGGAGCAGCCAGAGGTAGCGTGCGCACGATCTTTGGGGGAGCGATGTGACGGGGCATAGCAGGCGCGTAAATCTAGGTGGACGGTTCACCTCTCGCCTCACCCCGCCTTATAAATAGCGACCTCCCCCTTCATGTTTTGGCACGCTAAACTACAATCTTGCCTTCTCCGCCTTTCCACCGCCATCGTTCGGATCTGCTACCTTTGCTAATCCACCGCCAGCGCCCTAGATCCGTAGCCTTCGCTTCTTCGCCACCGCCAAAAAGTCATTTCTCCTCCGTCTTCGCTTTCCATGGAGTCATGGTATCGCTCTGACGTCATCTACGCACGCATGGAGGGCCTCGTGAAGCGCAGTCTTCTTTGCGGGAGGACCGACGCGATGGAGTGGCTGGTTCTAACGCTGCCCGACAGTTACATCGTCTCCTTCGCGCCCTTCCATGAGCGCGGGCTCACAATCCCCCCTCATCCATTCTTCCGGGGGCTGCTGCACCACTACCAGATCGAGCTGCAACACCTCAACCCCAACGGGATCTAGCATGTTGTGGCCTTCATCGTGATGTGAGAGGGGTACCTAGGGATCGAGCTGCACTTTGAGTTGTGGAGGTACTTCTTCGCCATCTCCCTGCACAGGAAGAAGGACAGAGGCAGGGAGATCCCGATGCCAATGGGATGCGTGGGCATCCACCTCTAGGGGCAGCAGGTGGCCAAGTACATGCCCTGCTAGTTGTTCAGATCCAACAAGGGGTGGCACGTGCAGTTGTTCTACTTGAAGAACGACCCCGCCGCCCCCTTGCCGGACTTCACCAGGCGCTTGATCGAAGAGGCGCCACCGATGTGGCCTTGGGGGCCACTCGACAAGGAAAAGAAGAGGATGCGCGACATCCTCGAGGCCATCGCATCCCTGAGGAGCCGCGACCTTCGCAGGGCCAGCGTCATTGGAGCATACCATGCAAGGAGGGTGGCGCCACTGATGGCGTGCGCCCTCATGTTGTTTGGGATGATGTTGGTTGTGGAACTCGGCGGGACGGTGCTTGCCTAGGGGCCGCTTCGCAAAAGTGAGATTACGCAGCGCATCAAGGAGGTGACAAACGAGTCCGACGCCATGTTCCTAATCCCGGGACATCCCATGATACGACCGGAGCCGGGCTTTATCAAGCTATCGGCGGAATCGGGCTTTTAGGCCTCTATCATGCCGCTGCCAGAGCACGCAGCCGTGAGGGTGGCGAACCATGCCATAGATGAGCGGAAGGAAGAAGGATAAGGATGACAAGGAGAAGAAACGGCGGGTGAAGGAGCGAGTGAAGTTGCAGCGAGGGAAGCAACGCCAAGGCTCGTCGGAGGAGGAAGAGGAGGAGGAAGAAGAAGAGGAGGTGGAGGAGGAGGATGACGGCTTTAGGTCACCAATCCCATGGGATCATCTGGCCAGCGGGGACGAGGACCCACCTTTACCACAGGCGGGGCCCTTCCTGTGGCATCTCTTGGAGCAAGAGGGGGAGGACACACCCCCGAAGACGATGGGAGTGAGTCGTCCCGCTCCGTCCGGGCCTTCTACGGCACCCCTGGAGTCGAGGGGAGCTAGCGGCTCCGCCTCGTCCAAGCCTCCCATGCAAAAGGAGGGCTCAAAGCGACAGTGCGATGAGGAGTCACGGCCGGGGTCGGGCGGACTGGCCCCGAAATGTCAGTGCCTGGTGGCGTCACGGTAGGCTAAAAATTCTTCGTCCTTTTGTTTCTAACGACTTTTTCACCGTGATCTGACCGCAGTGCCTTCCGCAGTGTTGGAGAACGTAGGACCCTCCTGAAGCTGGCGTCGAGAAACACTCTTGCCCTTTGGCGGGCGCGCCAGACCCATCTGATGCCGCGTCGAAGGCCGGTAGGAGCATCGCCGGGTCGACCGTGGGGTCCACCGAAGTGGCGTAGTCGCTGGCCGTGTCTACAGGAGGGTAGGCGGTGGAGGGCGCATCCAGGGCACCCGTGGTGAGCGCGGCACAGCCAGGCATGGCCGCGACATCATAGGTGGAGACGACATGGCTAAAGCTGTCATCCGCGCAGGCAGGCGCATCTACGGCGTGGGAGACGGGGGATACCGCACCCAAGGTGTCCTCGGCGGACGTGGCGCGGCCGAGCGCAGCCACGACATCATTGGTGGAGACGGTGTAGCCGAGGCCGTCATCTGTGTAGATGGCCACACCCATGGCGGGGCGGATAGAGGAGGCCATGCCCGGTGCATCCTTGGTGTGCACGACGGCAGGACAGGCTTCCTCGTCCATGTCACCCATCCCCTCTACTGCTGGGGGGCCCATCCTAGAGGAGTTGCTGCCGCCAGAGGGATCGACGCTGCCTGGGGTTGGCGCTTAGGCATCCTGGCCTCAGGTCTAGGTCGACGGCGACCCGCACGCCTGGGGAGGATCCCAGATCCAATGGGCCGACCGGCGGAACCCAGGGGCGACGCTCTTCACCCTCTACGATGCCGCAGAGGAGAGGGAGTGGGGGCACGTTCACTCAAGGGTTGGGATCGTGGTCAACACCCTGACCACCGTGTTGAACTCGCTGCAGGACGTCATCACACTGGTTGGCTAGGTACATCATGTCCGTGTCTTTGACCATCATCTCTCTCCTTTGCGCCTCTTAACTCGTGTCCTCTCCACAGTCTCTCATGGACCGCAGCCAGGAGAAGTCCCTGTTCCTTCATTGCAAGAAGGAT